ATATCATCCTTTACTTTGGGAACTATTATTAATGTGGCATATATTTTTAGGATCCTTTGAAATAGTAGATTACTCATTAGTACACGAGGTATTAAAAGAAAACTAGTTTTCATGGCAGATGTCGTACGAGCGAGAAATTGCAATAGATAAAGTCCCGTGTAAATTAGGTCAGAAATGCACTTTTAACGAGATAAATGTTACATCGCGAATCTGTCAGAGATGTCAACGTCCAAAAATTTCCGTACTAACGGCCAAAGTTAGCCGTAATTAAGAGCGAGACGGAGACAGAGAAGGGAGATAAGGGATGCGCCTTTCTCATTCAAAATTTCCATTCCATTACCGTTTCCACGGGGTTAGCGGGCGGGTCGCCACCTTCGTCGGTGGAATTCAAACGGGGTTAACAGCCCCGTTGTCACAGTGTAGGCCCGGGGAACGAGGGTAAGTACGGATGAAAGTGGACGATATTGTCACGTTCCAAACCGCGGCGTTATAAACGCCTTAATGTCCTTAATAAGCCTGTTGTAGCACCAAGGATTATTGGCCTCGGTATTCTCAGCCAGGCTGCTCTTCTGTTCAAGGGTTGTGCCGTTTCGCGGACGAAATTCGAGGGAAGTGAATGACGTCGTTGCCACGGGAAGGAGAAGGAGGTGTAACAGAGCTCGGGCTGCTTGTAAGAAAATGAAGCCTTTAATAAAGACCGTTATGGCGCGTTGTGCATGTGAGAATCACGTGACACGCAAACTCTCGGGGTGAATACATCATTTATCCCCGGTCCCCTATTGTCGCATACATGCCCTTAAAGTAGACGCTCCTCGAAACTTTGCGCGTTCAATTTGCAACGCTCGGGGGATCTAACCCCGTGAACTTGGAAAACACGGACCGACGACAGTGACTCTGTAGACTAAACGGTGGCAATCTTAGCTCTATCAGATATAATTTTAACCGTTTAGAATTCAACAAACTCGATAGGAAGGACTTCAGTCTTGGTAAACGCTAGTTTGGTTTAGCCGAAACCCAGGGGGTACGATCTGGACTAGGTGAGGGCCAAGTTGGTCGAACGGTGTCTCTGTCTAAGGTTATTTGCTATACCACATCTATATCCACGATACTGACTTGTCTATATCGATACTTGTACATATCTGAATATTATACTGTCAAGAAATATGATCTGGACGGTCTCAAGTCAAACAGTCATCATCCTGCATCTGATATTAGCACCTTAAACTTATCTATAGAAATAATATATTTGAGTCCTCTGAATAAAATTTGTTTACTTGGGACTACCTCTCGCCGAATATATGGAATTCTCCATTTCCATGCACAGAGAAAACTCTCCTCATTACTAAAGTATCTACTCTAACAAAACGCAGATTAGAAGTTAACGTAGGGAGAGAGAGGACTTATCTCTTCTCGTATTCACTGAAGTTTTCCTGAAATCACGACCGTAAAAAGGACGAACCATTTAGTCCACGGATACGGTGTTAGCCGACAGAAGATATGAAAGATGTACATTTTGCCCTGATAACGTCGTGAAAGGGATCGCGTTTATCACTTATATACGCTGCACCCTGCAATAAAGGGGTAGTTTGCGCCAGGGCGCGCCGTTGGGAGCCTCCCTCTCTCCCTCTCTCTCTATTTTTTCCTCCCCTTCAACCAACATTCGTTATTAATGGTCGTATCCTGTGATAAGGTAATCGTGCTCTCGCGTCTGCACGCCGGAGATATCCCTCTTGATACTCGTATACCTTATGTTAATGTCTCCCCGCGCGGAACGTGTCTCATTTATGGGTAGGCAGAGACATGAGCGCGAGCGGACACCGTTTCGCGGTTACGACGTCGTTACCGTATCGGTGTATACTGGCGACGAAAGAGACCCGCAATTTTAGAGCGGCCGGGCGGATACGGCCGCGTGGGACGCTGCTCCCCGAACGACGAGTTTATCCGAGACGACAGGTTCCGGGATAAATTAAGCATGATGTTTGCCAAGTGGAACGCTCGTTCTCGATATTCCCGTAAGTGAACTGTGCCTCTTCGCAGGATGAACGATTGTAGAAGAAGGTTTGGACCCCGGAAGCTGTGCGTGTAGACCCCGTTTTGATGGCGACGCGTCTGTAACCATATGTTTACATATTTTGCATGACTTCTGAAAGAATACGTAGCAATATAGCTGCAATCTTCTAAAGATATATACGGTCAATTACATTTAAAACCACTTTAAATTGCACGATTACATATTCAGAATGTAGCACACAATGGTACTCATATAATCTTGAATTTGTAGAACATTTCCGTAGAATCAATGTGTATCAAAATTTTGTCTCATCTTACCAACCTCCATTTATCTAACCACGTAATATAATGGAATTGATTAATTAGCTGGTATATTGACATTACGGAGCTAACCACATTGGAACCATACTCGGCATATGTAATACATACTAATTACATACACGTTAGAGATATATTCGGTGCAGTTGCCCGGCAAAAAGCGCATCGGCAGTTACACGACTATCGACCCGAGTCGAAATTTATGTGCACCATTTACAGCCTGTGAATCGTCCCGTTAATGAAGTTTTTAATGGCGCATGTGTGATAAAGTGTTCACCTCAGGTGAATTCCGAAACATGAGGATAGTATCTCTATGGCGACCAAGAGATGAAACGATTGTACGACAAACCTTTGCTGTGGGTCGTGTCTCGTTAATTATACGCATCCGTGGCCCCGAAGAGCTGTGGAAAAGCGAAAGGAATGCGAAGTGTTATAAGAGAGCGACGAGTACCCAGTCCGGAGGAGGGAAACTGGAGGCGAAAGAATGGGATGAGCCACCTCCGAGTAACGAGCGAACTCTTGCGAAACTACCGCCTCATATAATCAATTAGAACTCCAGAACGAGTGAGATGGTAATGGAGTTGAGCTAAGTACAAACTGGAGCAAACTGGCGTCGAGTCGAACGAACGGATCAACCACCGCCGCCTCCCCACCTCCAGCATCGGCTCCTTCGAGCCTGTTCGTTTCCGATGGAACCTGAGATCTTCCACATCACGATGAATTCCTACGATACTGTATGTTCTAACTAGGTGGAAGTAAATGTTACTTTGATAGTCTAACATTACCACTGTTCCTTACAGTATATTTACGAGAGAAGAATAATTACACACGTTACACTAAATTCTGTTCTTCATAATCCATAAATGAAGGTTTTTTCGGAGCTTCATGTTATTACCTCCGCTTTAATCCCATTTACTACTCTCAGGAGGAGACATATCTACCGGTTAGTATAATCGTTGGTCCATGTTTTCTTCCTGCTCGAAATTGCCCGTTATCCTAACCCATAAATTTGAGGGACATTGAAGTCGCGCGAAAGAATCTATCGCGAACTAGCCAGGGTGATCTCTGTTATCTTAAGTAGACCCTTCGTTTATGGCTCCGTAGTCCTCGAAGAGGCCACTTTCAACTCCTCTCTCATCCCCCTGACGTTGACAGAGTATTGTTCCTGGTCTGAGATTTTCCTTGGACATCGACCCACACCCTTACTGCTAAGCGGATAGGACAGATAAGGGGACGAAAGGATTCCCTGAGAATGTCAACTCGCTTTTTATCTTACACCGGTGTCGCTCAGGCCCATTATATCCGATGACCCTAGCGAGAAAAATTGTTATCGCAACGTATAAAACGGGATATATCGATTATGCAAACTTGGGAAGACAAAAATAAAAAAAAAGGGACAACAGAAGTACAAGTTCACGGCGGATGGAATTAGAAATTAACAAGAAACAGTAACTCCTCAGGATCCCGGCATAAGCACATGCCAGCCCTGGCCGTAGATCCTGGGATCCATTTAAAGCGTAGCGACCTATCCCCGGGCCGACCCAATTGAAACTTCTTCCAACTGATCCCATTTAACGAACCAGCGCCGGAAAAGTTCCGAATTAAAAGGAGCTTTCAATTTCTCATTTCGACCGGCGCGTCCGTATCCAGATCGAGGATCTACCTCGTTAGGGGTGGCAGGCCATCGTGATGAATGTTGTCCGTAAATTTTCCAGGTACATCTGCTACTCTGCCCTTTAGGGCAAGAGAGGGAAAGAAGAAAAAGAACCCGGGGACAAAATGGAAGGACGTAGAAGTAGAAGAAGGGCCACGTCGAATCTCTGATTCGAGAATCTTGGCAGTTCTCTCGGTTTAAGGCGATCCCCCTCCATGGAATCTCGGTTATTCACTCGCTGTCAATAACGTGGCCAGTCGGCTCTCTTTCTTTCCCTCTCTGCCCTTTCAGTTCGCTTGTTCCTTCGGCTCACGTGCTCGACCGCCTTGTCCGTCATCGCGTGCGCCCTGAAAAAGATCCAGCTCGTCGCCTTTCACCGCCGCATCCCCCACGTACCAGCCTCCTCGTTTTACACTGCTAAATCCAATTTCAGTTTACCGCCTCGTACCACCCTTGAGAAGGATCTTTGCGGTAACTCGCCACGCTGTTGTACCCTTCCGTCCTTTCTCGCCTGGTCAGAAAAGCACGACCGGGTCGATCCTTTCCGAGATATAATCTTCTCTCGTTAAGCGTTTGGAACTTGAGGGGCGGATGTATCTCTGTTGATGTCGTCTTTAAAGCGACTGATTTTCTCGAGGTTGAATATGTTACACTATTTAACTATTGATGGGGAAGGATTTCAGATGAAATTAATCCTACAACGAATGAGACTTTTGGTGACTTATGGCAGACCACGAGTGAACCCTATTCATATTTCATTATCATTGAAGGACGTAATTCTTTTTCGATTGGGTGATCGATATTCCGAAATCACGAATTTGTTTCTTTCACTGATTTGGAAGTTCCTGACTATTTAATAACATAATTCTTTACGATATGCTGATTGGATATTTCGAAATCTAATGTTTGAATAATTTTGAAACTCTTGGTACAATTTCCTTCGAAAGGGACTCAGGCATTAATAATGTCTACCTTCTACTGCGAGAGATTTTTATCACGATATTTCGTTTTGTTTCAGGTGACCGGCATCGTGGGACGAGCGGACGTACTCGCCTGTATCTTCTTCCTGTTGTCCTTTCTTGCTTATCACGGGTAAGTAGAATTAAATTTGCGAATGATTCCATAAACGACGAAATGTCGTACTTCTGCTCTGGTCTTGGAAATATTCTGTGCGTCCTTTTTACAATGGTACATTTATTTTCTAACTTATTCGATTCATGGTATTTCATAACAGATCGTTCAGAGTATTCCTTTAATAGGACGTTCGTTCAGGTAAACGTAACTCTGTTACTGAAACCTATTTTTACTGGCGTTATTACCAACGGAACAACAGCCGTACCCGTTAATATTCCCGGAATCCCGCATTCTATCATTTTCCCCGTATCCATTATGGACAAATCGTTTCTTCCTCGTTCCAATCATTCCCAACAGAGAGTAATTTTCATCGTTCCACACGCGCTGAGGGAGGGGGTATGGAAAACAATTTCATCGTGTACAGACGGTTACGCGCATCGCGATGCCAACAGAATTAATAATCGTGACTCGTGTACACGGTGGCATTGTTATAGAGACCGGCGACGTCGGTTGCATGTTCAATTTGTTCGGAAGTAAGATGAAGTGAAATCGACTTCTCGTTTAATATTGTAACAGGCGGCACGAAGTTACACGCTTGGGGCATGCAAGAAACATCGTAACGACGCGAGATTGGCTAATTTACTATTTTCCGACATCATACGCGCCGCTCGTTTCGAAATTTTTTTTTCAGGAATTATACGTATTGAGAAGCTGGACATTTTCTATAATTTTATACACTTCCAACACGTCATCCTGTCATCCATTACAATTTCTTTTGGTTTCACGACGTCCGATATTCATTATGATAGGAAACCGTGTAACATTAGCATGTCTGGGTAACAATTTCTTTCTTTAATCGAAGAAATTAAACAATCAAAATTAAAAAAAGACACACTTCTATTAAGAAAAGTAGTCTCACCAATAACAATTAATAAAAGGATTCCTTTTGTTATTCTATATTCAAGTCTATTACATTTAGTTCCCACACGGATTCACCTGTTCCAAGAACGATTCCATACAAGCATTTCTTTTCGATAAAAGTTACCACCAGATAAAATCAACCGCAAAGAGACCGAAGCCATAAATGGCATAGGAAAATATACAGCGATAGGTTAGCGAAGAAAAAACTATTTTCAGTCCCTTTCCCTGTGCTTCAGAGTATGGCTCGGTAGCAACTAAATAAGGTAGCGTGTCAGGGGCATAATGCACCCATAACTCGAGTGAACTTACCGGCTGCACATACATACGTCAGCGACGTCGGGCGTCGCTTACCGTCGGGAGGACGCCAGTCTGACGCCGAAACAGGGGCCCATTCATTCTCATGAACGCCGGGGCGGTGTGTGGAAATTATAAACTAAACTAATTTACCCCTCCCCGAAGCGGCGCGTGGTGGTTCATTCGTCGGCCCCGTAAACGTTCCCTGGCTCGTTTACATCGATCCTCAGCCGTGAAAATATAAAGTGCTTACGAGCGATCCCACGCGAAACTTACGACGAAAATCTTTTTATCGTCTACCCTCTAAGAGGATTCAGGACTTATGCATGGTAAGCGGTGTAACGGCGTGCTCGAAACGAGCCGCGAAATGACGCTCGACCCCGTCGCTCGTGACTCATCGTGAGAAACTGACGATACTTTAAAGAATAAGGTCATTTTCCATGCCTATAGTCAGTGTACATTCTGAAGTAGTTCTAACGTATTACCTTTTACAAATCATCGAACTATATTTAAAAAAAATGCTTAGAGCCTGTCAGACGCGCTCAGAATATTTCTGAATTGAGAGACTTAATTAAAAGTATCAAACGCCACTGAAGTTGTTGATGAACGCCAAACAAATTTTCGACCAAAGGGTCCATATAGGTAAACTGACCATTCTCCTTCCACTGTCCCTCTCCGAATTTATCACCAAGAATCAGCTAACGCAATAACGTCAAGTAATCGAATTCGTCGTTCGACAAAGTTAATTCGATCGTGAGTGCAGCGTATTTAAGCTTTGAATCGACGGCAGACCGTCCGCTTGATGTCACCGACGGAACGCCGTTCCGGATATCGAAATCGATAGTCAGAGTATCCTTTTTTAACACTGAACGATTCGATCGATCGCGTGTATACTTATCCCGTTGGGGGTGTGCAGCATTCCTCGGCCTCGTCGCGAACGGTAATAGGAACGAATATCGAGAAGCGGCGCGCGTACCGGTGTAAAATACGCGGTATATCGAGGGAAACGGAGGCGCATAGCTCGTAAACGAATCGGGAAAACCGGGAGTTCCGACTAAATGGGCGCCCGAAACAGGTCAGTGTGTCAACCTCCCCCGGCTTTTAAGTAATGAATCACGAATGAATATTCGTATTTTGCAAAAAAAGAGAGAGAAAGAGAGAGAGAGAGTAGAAAAAAAGAACGCTGGCCCTGAGGGAAGGGAGTTGTCGGTGAAACGTTCGGGGTACAAATGTTCATTCTCCGAAGTCAGTGACATCGTTGCTCGACGAATTAGTCCGATTTTTTTTTCCATATCCGCTCGTCTGGCCCCCCTTTAGACGATTATTCACGAAGAGTTTTCAGGGGAAATATTGGAAGAAGGCGACACTTTACATTTCTGTTACGACAATTGTGGCTATAGGTATCTGCTTTGGGATTATTGAATGTAACGGAGTTAGAATTCAGAGTTAGACTCTTGTTTCTTTGTATTTTTCCTGTGAGATTAGTTTCTATTGCCGTCCAGTGCTATCTTCTATTGCTGGTACCAACTGGTACTAGGCAATGGTAGCTAGACAAGACAGGACAGTAGTTCGTACAACAGAGCTAGTGGAATAAACCGTGCTAGGTCAGACGCGTCGTCAAAGAGGCCAATAGTAAAGAAAACAATTTTCAGAAATTGTCCGTACTTACGTACTTCGAAATCATACACGATAGACATTACTAGCAGTCCAAAAAGACTCGAGCATAACTGGTTTGGAAAAAGAGTCGGATTAATAAACGATCGATTACTTTCTCTATTAATTCGTTTATCGTTCGTAATGTAAATGGGTAATATCAGCGAAAAACGGTGGAAACAGACAGCACAGAGATCATTCGACGCTGCGGAACGTTTCGAAAAGTAAACTGCGTGACTTTATAAATCCCTTCATCCCCGGTGAAGCTGGAATTAGCGAGTTTGAACGAGTTAAACCGGGAAATTGCGATGTAATAACCGTGAAAGTGTAAACGCGAAACGAAATTCAAACAGTTGTTTAATGCGCCGCGAAATGTAAGAAGGGAACGAAATTTCCAACGGAAGCGCCACGATTTCATTTCCTATTGCGAGGAAAAAAGGAAGAGTCACGTATTTCCAAAGTTTGCGAAGGTACGATTATTTTCCGCTCTTTCTCAGGATCGCTGGCCTCTCGTTCTTCATCTCTACGCCTCGTCAAAGACGGAATTATCTTACGCGTTACTTCTGAACGCCTACCCTCCGTGGCTCACCGTACCGACTTTTTCGAAGTTTTCTTTTTTTTTTACGTCGATGCCGTGCTTCAAAGATATCCTAATTTAATTTCAAGAAGTTCGAATAGTTCTCTGGGAAACTCCTGGCATCGAGGGCTTTAAAAAAACGAGCCACCCCCGTTGCCATTATTATCGCTGATGTAACTTTTTGAAAAAAATCAAGGTCACCAGGTATTTAAAGAAAAGAATAAGACATAAGAAAATCAAATTGTATCCATCCGATGCATCCCTTAAAATGCCATAATTCGTTAAAACGTCTAATACAATCAATAGGTAACAAGTTATTGCAGATAGTATTTCTTATTGACTCACCCTATACATAAGGTAGAAGACACACAACTTCAAAGTTCACTCCACCATTTGCTAGAAGGACTTCCTCTCCCACACAGTGTGCATAATTACGTTATCACGCCGCAAGAATCAATCTGCATGAAAATGAAATTTCAGCACCACGGAAAATAATTCATTTTACGTGTGGGATGACGGGGCGGATCTCCGCCAAAGGTGGTCGTCACCTGCGCGGCACAAAACTGCAGGACGCACTGCGCAGCCTGCATCGCATGCATAATTTAATAAAGCCCTTCCGCTACGACCGACGAAATATTTATTTGCACAACGCGGCGGACGCGCGTGTCGCGATCTTCGTTCGTGACGCGATTCGCTGGTCGGACCATTGCACCTCGGATTTGAAACGCGTGGTCGGACACGCCTCCCTTCCAACGATTAAATCGTGTTCCGGCCCGGTCTGGAGCTCGATGCGTGTGACCCTGATCGATCCACGCGCGGTTTATCACGCGCATTCCTTTTTCCAGCCGGCGATAAAACGAAATTACGAGGCATCGTAATCGGGACAATCGCGTGCCGCTCGCGTGCCCACCGCTCAACCATCTCTCTCTCTCTTTGGTTTCCCTTTGCACCGACACTTGCTCAATATGCAACCCGGTAATTGACTTTTCTCGCCACTCGGAGGCCAGACGGTCGTTCACAGATTTCGAACGCGAGTCTCGGCTTTTGCTTTCTTGATCTTTGCTGCTAAGTATCGATCTCGCATTTTAATGGTACTGAATTTAATAATCTGGAAAAGATTCGGTTTCCTTGGACTGAACCTGATTTAACCTCTTAACTTGTACAGTAATATCTCCATGAGTACGACATACTCGGGTACGCTTCGGGGCATTCATGGAAAAGCGGAAAGGTTTTCAACCCTTTATAAATTTGTTTTTGGTTCGAAGTGATGTTTATAGGAAGTGTACATTTCCCCATCATCTATATTTACTTTTCAATACCAACTTCCAGTTTCCCTTCCACAAATATCACAGGACATTACTTATAGAATTACTTGATATCATACGGAATTAATCTCTATCGCGATCCTAATCCCCATTTATTTCTAATTATGCTGAAATCCACAAACTCTGAATCACCAGGACCTCTCATTCCTTCCCAATTAAACAGGAATTAATAACGTTTACCTGAACGGGACCATGGCCAGCGCAGTTGTGTTTCGAAATGTCTGCCCTCTCCTCCGATTACGGTGGTTTTAGCAGCCGGGCGCGTAACAGTGTAAACTCGTGGTTCCGGCGACAATGACCGGAGGCACGGGCCGCCGAGGGGTGTGCATTAAATTAAATCTTTCGGATTTGCTTCGGTTCCAGGCAGCAGACGGCTTACTTGTGGAGCAGCGTGTGCCTCGGAACGCTGTCGATGTTAGCCAAGGAGACCGGCATTACTGTTTTGCCTCTAAACCTTCTTTACGACCTCTGTCGCTCCTGGCATTCAATCAAGAGGTAAGCGTTTAAGCGCACGGCGGTCGTAGAACAGTTTGGAAACGCGACACGTACCTTTCGGCAATAAATTCCGAAATAAGAAGTAACAGTCTCCGGGCCCCTGAGTCGTATCTCGCCGAAATTTACGCGACGTCACCCCCCACGCCCGTCTGTTCATTCCATTATAAACACGTCGTGGGGGTTGGGGTGTAAACTGTATGCCCCGAAGATGTTGGTAGCTTGTGTTTAGTTTACGGAGAGGCTTCTGAGTTTGTCAACAATAACAAAAGCGCAGGGGCGTATGTGCAATAGAGCCTTATAATTTGTAAATTCGTTTAATCATTGTGTAAGAGACGTTTACTTGGTTATTTCGTCCATGGTGTCATTAGAATGAAATACAGTAAAGACTACATGAGAGTTTAAAACTCCAGTTCGGTTTACAACTTTCACGGTGCGCCGCGAATTGTTTCAACACCTCATAAATTGGTTTTTTGGTCAAAACCCGACCCCTGGCAACGAAAGCGATTGGGGGGAGGGGGGTAGCAATAAATTATACGCTTGGAACGTTCCACGACCTCCCCACCCCAGTGGCGAAGTAGAAACTCTCGGAACGTGGAACTTCTTATGCAACTCTCAGCGAGTCTTTACTGTATTACAATATGGTTCTACATTAAAGTAGAGATGTTTGAGAAAATCTGACATAGGAAGCTTTGGTGAGATGGTGAATCGGATGGAAGTAAGAACATTTGCATACGTCCAAGAAACTTATTCAGTTGTAAGTTCCATTGTAACCGACTGTAATCCTATATCTGCTCAGACATCTCTATTCTCCGACTGACGTACAATCACGGAAGCCATCTAACACGTCGGTTCTTCACGTTTCAGATCTATTTTCGAGGCCAGGTGGAACGACGACTCCAAACATTTTTCACGTCGCGCCGCTGCGCTACTAGTCTCGGTAGGTGTAACAATGTATCAATCTTACAAATGTATGTCTACAGTCTCATTATCCCTGTTAAATCCCATAAGATTCAAAGAAATGTGAAAACTCAGATATCATTGATATCAAAGTCAGAAAGTTCAAACCAGGTAACCCTAATTTAAAATCAATCTGGCCGAGCAAATGTTCCAGGCTATTACAACAAAATTTCCATCGGTTTTACCCGCGTGAATACGACCCACGGTACACAATCATTAATGCCCCGTGAAAGCCATTATACGCCGGAAACAATGCGTGAAATGAAACGCGCGGGAGCAATGTTTCCGCCCGAATCGGCCGCGACGAAGAAAGTTTCGCGAGTGTTCAACCGAGTCGAACAAAACCCCCGGCTCGGATTTATTCCAGCAGTGGCAAGTCGGTCGTGTAAACGATCGCCGTTATAATGCCGCTGCGTTGTAACGCTCGAACGGTATCGAGTCGAGAAATGTTTTCGAATCGCCTGTATCGATTCTCGGGAACGTGGAATTTCAATTTTATTATCGTCCAAGTCGAGCATGACCAGGGTACTACTTCCTGGACGGTGTCTCGAGTGTGAAGGCGGGGATCGGGCCTGAACGAGGATAAATGGATAAATGGATCTGTCGACTTTTCTCTGTGCCTCACCGTTCGGTTCCTCGGCTGGCAGAACTGTAGCAGACATTGCCAGTAACACAATAACGACTCAGCCGTTGGTCTACGGAGCACCCACAGTCCCTCACTTCGCGGGGCTTCTGGACGGGACTGTGTTCCCGTTTTACGCTTTAAGGCACCTTCACGCGTGCAACACAATGCTGAATAGATCACAAGTTTCGACTGTTTACACCGTGCTCCGGCTCTCGAATTTCTGCCACTGAGCTCTCCGGGACATTGTTAATTGTTCCTATGGTCTCTTGGTCGGAAGTCCCACTTTACTCGTGGATCTTGCCAGCTGGTCTCTTTCTTTCTTCATTTCAAAGTAATGTTGTTACGTTCTTGAATTGTATGTACATTTACTAGAAATAGTACATATTCTTATATTCTGTATACTTCTGCTAAAATCGTACGTAAATACGTGTAGATTTACTAAACTTCACGCTCTTACTGTGACATATCCACCGATTAAAACAGTGACCTCAGTGGTACATTCATGTTCTCCCGCTATCTTCCTTGCTTCCAAGTTTAACATTTATTCGAAGACGATTATACATCATCGTGGACAGCAGTGTACAGCATAAACCGGTCGGGTCGAGCGTAAAGATCCTTGCAGGGCAGCGGATAAGAGTTTCCGGCCATCAAGGAAAATCCCGGGGCTATGTCTCGCGGCATTTGCAAACGGCCGCCACCCCTGGATCCGCGTCGTTAATTCTTAACGGCCGATATCTTCCGTTTTTATCGTCCAGTCGTAGGCTGGCCACCGATGTTTACAGCATCCGAGTGCCTTAAGTAAGTTTAACGATCGTTAACGGCAGATACAACCGCCGCCCCGCGAAGAGTACACTCCCCCTTCCTTTTTACGAGCGTGGAAAATAAACTGCGTTCCCGACGAATTGTTAGGCAACCGTAGGAGCCATTCCGGTTATCGCGATCTAAGGCTGCGCCCGTGCTTGTAAGGAAACTCGCGAATGAAATACGGGATCGAAACTTCGAGGGAAAAAAAGGTTAACAATGTAACCATTCGTAAATACGAGGGCAACCATTCGTCGAACGGAATTTGTGGTTATAGGCTCTTCCTTAATGGAGTCGATTGTCGACTCTGGGCGTCTTTGTAACGGCGGCCGTTTGGCACGAATACGTATACGAGATTCGAACAGCAATATGAATTATTCCTCGGAATTCTATTCTTAGGAACTATCTATTCTTCGGAACGAGTGGTCATTGAACTTCTGCGTGGTTAAAAGTGTCCGGAAATTTAGAGGGTAGCAAGAATAGTCCGCAGGATTAATGGAACCTGCCAATCTTCGTTTGTTCGAGAGAGAAAATAAACGAAACACCCGCGACAGCGGTGCTGAACATTATTATCCTTGCTCGCGGCTAATTAATAACAAAATGTATATTATGCAACGCGATTAATTTTAATTAAGCCAATGTAACGACTGAATAACAAATCACCGATGATAAATAATTCGTGACTGTCGGTGGTTTGCTGTGGTCCAAGCGTTATTAGAAATTCATCGATTCGATTAATGTGTGTGCGCCGGACACGGGGGGGTGTATAGAAATATCGTCGATTATAAATTAACACGGATGGATTTATATATATATTTTTTAACGCTGTCGATTCCCGATAGACCAGCGTCCGCTATCTCGTATTTCCCGTCCTCTCGTAATTCGTGTCGCGGGTCGAAAGTTATGGGGGTGCGTATAAAGTATCACGAGCAGTCGATATGGTAACGCGAGGGTGAGCATTGGGAGCTTAGTTTGACCGAACACGATTCCGAGTTATGCTAATTTATGTCAAGAAACGAGGGAGGCGTGTGGAGCCACGACCCTCACATTCAGGATCCCGCGCGCATATACACACTCACTCGACGACTCCCTCCTTTTTCCACCCCCCTACCTCGTTCTTGTTACCTATTGCCACTCACGCGTTTCAAGATATGTCTTTTCCGAGAGGGTTATTTAACGTTTCTTTTCCTCCGTTCTCGGGGCACTGAATTTCAAGAACTAGGGTACTCGTTGATTCGTGTGCACTCACATGAAACGGAACCGAGGATGTTGTATAACCGCGTGTACGATGTTTCATCGTGTGGATTCTGTTCGGAGGACATTATTTCGGCTTTTCCTGTTTCAAATATATATGTTACAGTAAAAGCGTTAATTCAGTAAATGTTATACGTTTCGTAGTCAATGTATGCACTTACTAATCTGTTTAGTAAATGTATTCATAAAGAACGAAATTTATACTTTTACTAGTGAATGCATACATTTAAATTTCTGACTTGGTGTAAGCATGCACAGAGAAAAATGCATTAATTTCAATAAACAGTTTATTGAATTTATGCTTTAATAAATTTTGGCGTAATAGGAATTCACGGGTACAGATCGTTTAGGTTATACTATTAAAATTAATAAAAACAGTAAAAAAACCTATGTGAGAAACACCCAGTTTTTTTTAAAAGATCCCTAAATTATTAAATAACGTGTTAAGTTTTCAGTTTTCATTTTTGTTCCTTGAATTTACCTGTATTTTACAAAATTATACTTTTGACATTATACTTTTACTAACGCGCTCTACGAATTGTATGGATTATCTAATAAATTGATCTAATTATGGAGTCTAGTAATTGAATTTATAATGGAGTCAATTCTATCAATTTCGAAATCCTCTTCTGCGCTCCTAAATCAAGTAATAGTCGTATAAAGAATAACGATTCACTGTTTCCCAACGGCAACAACATTGTATTAGTAGTATTACATAAATTGTCGACGAAAAAAATGATTGGTAAGGCTCACAATCGTTAAACCTTGTTAACATTAGCTGAAAGGAGGACTAACTTCGGAACTTCGTTCGGTAAATCAATTACGGAAGCGTACCGTAAGTACGTGTTGGCTTTCGGTCGAGGGGGCAGTATTTGCTTCCGGATGGTGCCACAGGCACGTTATGGGTGCTTGGAACCCTAACAGACGTAATCGATAAGCCAATGCATTACGGATACACATTGTTGACTGATTCTACATCAATTTGCCCATTGTTAGTCGATTGGTTTACCGCTTAAATCTTACCTCCGAGTACCGAATTATCTTAAGGCCACGGGCGCAATTATAATTTCATATGCCGTGTTAACACGACCGTTCCGAACTAGTTTAACCCGCTAACAATCGGAACGGTTAGGTAGCGGATTGCTCGATAGTACCTCCGGGTGAGAACTCCGGGAACGTGAGTCTGCATTTAAAGCATCCGCCATATAGAAGCCCCCGCGTTCAATGCTCGAACGCTCGATAATTTCTTTGGAAGGTAAACTATTCCTACGAATAAATTTTCTTGTTTCTCTGAAGTATCATTTCAATTATAAAAACTGAAATTTCCACATTTAAACAATTAGAAATGACGAAATATTTTTTGTTATCTTTTATTCGTTATTCGATACTTTTTATCTAGATAATGAGTTTGCCCATCTCTGCTGTAGGTACATCAGACACACCTATATCAGATAGACAACAGAAATATTCTAGACCTACCTAAAATTTTCATAAAACAGAAGAAAACAGTATGTTGTAAATGTCCAAAAAGAGTTCCTTAATAATCCTGTTCAACAGCATTACAAGAAAAGACGAAGATTAAACTACCACTCCACTATAAGACTATTCCATTCACCCATGTCACTTTTCGCCATCATTAAAACTCCCCGCTAGTATTTCATTACACAATTCCCATCCACCCAGCCGAGAATACCAAACCGAGAGACCGCACGACACTGCCGCACCTGGCGCAAAATTAGGAACGCTCGTCCCACCAACTGATCCGACCGCGGTACATCCACGCAGGCCGTTCACTTCCCAGGAAAAAGAGGTACACACACACCCCGTGCGTGGCAATAACACCAGACTAACAAAAGGGAACACCACCGCGGCTTATATGTATGCGGTTCGCCGTGTCCTGACGTTTTCGTGCGCGTCAGATATTTACCGAAATTGAATTTCCTGTCTGGCTTCGCCGTGTTCCGTGGTGGGTCACCCCGGGACTAGCCCCATGGCGACGTAATACAATATTCCGCGGTAAGCCCCCTCTTTCCTGTCCTATCGAGAGGTCGAAACGACGGAATGAGAGTCGGTGTTCGACATGGTGTACAACTGGAGGTTGAAAAAGGCAGCGTGTATCAGGCATGTGTGTATGCGTGTATGAGCGACAGCCTCGAGGAGGGTAGATGTGTATCCGGTTGGATCGAAGAAGATATGAATACCTTCGATTGGCAGATATTGTCCGGTCCCTTGAACCCTTCTGGAACCTAGAGGACGCCAGATACAGAGGGATCTCCTGGCCTAGCCAGAAAGAGAAAGGGTTTGATAGCGTTCTCCGATTGAGGATGGAAGTGCCAGGCGTGAAGAGTGGACGGACGGCTATATTGGGTTAGGGAACTACCGCGGTGACGTGACTGAAATACGACGGAAGGATCCGCCCGCGAGGACGTCTAAGAGTTCTATGAAGCACGGCTGAAGTGTTCCGGGCTTTGACGTTTTGGAAATGAAGTCGTCTTCTTGGATAGAGGTGGCTGTGCTGGGATGGTAGCTGTAGAGTAAATCTGAGGAGTATGATGGTAATATTCTGGATAAGCGAGTTATTCGTCGTCTGATTGGTTGGGTTTAACAGCATACGCCATGGAATAAATATTAAGAATTTGTTTATGTGGCAATTGACATAATGCGATTTCGATGAATATTTCGGAATCATGGGTCGTTTGGCAATAGTCTCAACCGATGAATATCGACCTATAGTCCACAGTTTTAAGACGTTCGCGGACGGCTACTGCATATGCAGTACTGTCCCTATTGTCTGGTAGGTCACCACTGCATATGTAATACATTTTTTTTTTTCTTTAATTTGCATAATCAAAACGGTGGGAAAACTTATGAGTGATATAAATATTATGGAAGGAGCACTGCTAATGCAGTTTTTTGTTTCATATGAATATGCTTTTGTGGTCTAAATGTCAAGTGTATCGAAAGGCTCTTTTCTGATTCCATCCATGAAACATTGAAATGAAGTTTATTGAGAGTGCTCGTATCAATACCCTACGCAAACTCGGTCCGTCCGCGAATGTATTTAATACGCAATACCACCAACTTAATTGAATCTAAATAAAACGTACATTGAGGTGTTTTAGCAAGACAAGAGGTTCATCAATCGCGATCAGGCGTTAACGAACTTGCTATCTGGTCTGCGAAACGTAGTTCGCCCGGGGCGATTCAAATTTCACCTTTTGAAGTTCGTAGCAATTACGATGAGTGCTCAGTAATTCGCTGTATATCGATCTATTTCAATATTCTCTACCATCAGTGAAGACACAATCAATATGAACAAATTTACACACATGAAAAATGGAAATACACTTTGTTGATGTTAGTCTAGTCGAAGAACACAAAATTATAAATGCCAACAAAATTATTCTGGAAACAAAAAATAGCGTAATATCCACAATAGAAATGAAGTGAATAGCACAGCTGATATATAATAAGAAATGTACGGCTTGAATGAAACTTTAAAATTAATTCTGACGCTATTACGTGAAATGAAAGCAGTTCGCGTGGAACGAATACGTCGGACGGCATATTTCCGCGTGAAATTTTTAGCTCACAGGCTCCTTTCTTGTTTTCCGTCTTTCCAACCGGCTAATGAAAGGTTCAAATAGTTCTAGCAGCGTAGCGAGTAGCGAATCATCGAGCTGCTGCGAGTCGAGGGTCTCCAGGAAAGGCTAGTAAAGGGGCTCTTCCGCAATCTGGATACCCTTTTGTTTCATTCCCATTCATCTTTCGAGCAGTGTACACGCTAGGTAGAGGGCAGAGGGTCGTGTTTCAGGATGCACGAAGTAATAAAGCAAGAGTCCATAAAACAGTTCGAACGATGACGATGGAATTCCGTGAACGGGAGTATGTATATTTAAAAAACGAGACAAAGATAATAGAAATTAATGAAACGAGTATTCGAGGGAATCGATCCGTAAAAATAATAAAAGAGGATTCGTAAATACTAGCGTTATCCGATGGTATTCTCAATTTACAATCCATTCTAATTTTTTCAATAATTGGTTCGTTTCGAAACTGATTTCACCGACCGTTAACTTTTTTTCTGGCTTATCTAACAGAACGTAAAAATGGCTAGAATGTTAAACGAGAGTGAATATTTATACTGGCCTTTCAATCGTACAATTTTTGCAACCTTTCTTTTAACGCTCCAATTCAATCTCACGTTTATAAAACACGGTTAATCCTCGGCTACACGATATTATCCTCACTCAACACGGAAACAAAATCCAGGATGCCTTTCAACTATCTTCAGCAATTGAATTAATCACTGAAATCGTTAGACTATGGATACACCGAAGAGCAAAACGATACCTTTCACAAGATAATGAAGTAACAAAATCGTATAAACACGCGTTATTGTTACGCAATTAACAGACATTAAAACATGCACTGTAATAATTGTATTTTTGTCGTGTTTAATTAACAGTTCATCGGGTTGCAATTACCTTTGTATAAATATAAAATGAACAGAACGTCGTTTGATATGTATATGTCTCTCGGTAATAATTAAACATATTCGCAATGCTGTCGCGAGGTGAAAAACAAAAGTGCATTTGGAGGTGCGCCAGCAAGAAAAATTGCCATGAAAATATGCGGTCGGAGCAATTAACGTTCGTCCGTGTTATTAAAGGATTCCTTTTATTTGTAGTTTGGTGTGCTGCTGGTCGTCCGACTCGCCCTCCTTCACGGCGCTTTACCGAAGTTCTCGCCGCAGGATAATCCGGCAGCTTTTCATCCCTGTTTCCACGTCAGGTGAGTGTGTATTCTGCCCCGTAAGTCCTTTATGCTACACGATGCGTAACAAGGTTTACAATTACAATGTCGGAAAACTCACGGCGATTGCGGACGCACGGAAACTGTATACCGCTGTCGCACTTTCGAAACCCGATGTCTCCGGTGAACACCATATCGAAATACCGAATCAACGAAAAACAAGTCCTTTCTCCGTACTTTGATTACATACGGTTTCGCGGCTTTGTATCACTGCTTTCTGCTTATTTGGACACGATGGTTATTTTCGGGGACCGAATCCTTGTAATTATCGAACAGTCGAAGTGGTATTCGAATAATAGAGAATTGATTAAAAAGTGTTGATTGCATAACGAATTTTTTTTTCTTAACTGCTATGGAATAATTTGCAATGAATATTCTTGAAGGAGTGAATGCTTGACAGACTCTAATTTTTAAATGGCATAAAGAAATGAGATAGAGTTTTTATGGAATTGTAAGCTGAGAATGTTTACAATCGTGTTATGGAAGAAAGGTTTATTAGCAAGCAAATTCATCTTCGGAGATTGTCGATTGAAGTCTTGGGGGAACTTTTATGGAGCAGCAGGATTCTTCCAATAGAACTTTCTTCTTTGAGCAAGTTTTGTACCTCGAGGAAAACTTGTTAAGCATTAGCCGGGCTTCGGGGAAGTTACAATTATTCGAAAGATCCCGAGAATACTAATGAGAAAACAATTAATTCTCCGTCCGATAATAGATGAGAAAAATATGAAGAAGGGAATTTCAGAAGATCTCTCACCCTTCCGCAACTGCCAACTATTTGTCATATCCACACAAACACTGAACATCAATCATACACAAACACGTTCATCTCTCCAATATCAACCGACAGAAGCAGACACAAAACCAATGGTTTTGAAAAGGACTACGAATGTGTTCGCTTCGATGGTCAAGTGAGATCTCAGACATTCATCACAAGTCTCAAATACAGTCAACAGATACATCAGACGAGTGTCTACTCTGTCCTACTTCCAACCATTTCGAAAACAATAATTTGAAGAAAAACTGAACAATTCCCGTGACTCGCTAACAAAGTCGCGAAAAAATACATCAGTATACCCAGCTTTTTACCGACTATCGATCGCCGTCGTGACTGTCAATACCGTAATCCCGAAGCAAAACCGGACGAGGATGGTTCCATTTTCTCCGGCTATGTATCTTCCATTTGTGATCGTTTCCGTTGCACTTCCGGCAGAGCCATCGTTTATATCGCGCCGCAGTTACCCGTCTGACCCGAATCCACGGGTAGTGCTCGAGTTAAAATGCTTCGCTCTTCCCTCTTTAGGCTCTGCTCCGAGCGATATCCTCAAGTTCGGTGGAAGCGACGGTCGAATCCTACCAACGACGCTAGGGGTGGAGGGAGGCGCCCGATTCGTGGCCGGGTTAAACCGACCGCCTCGCCTTCAACTTCCAGTTGCTTCCTCCCACCCCCCTCGCCAGCCAGTTCTCCCCATCATTTCGACGATCCAAGCGAGGGGAACGTTTAGAAAAGAAACGGAGAACTAGCTCGCCGCATCACGTCAAAGAGAGCCGAAGCGCGACCGACTTTTCAAAAATGTTTTCCGGTCGATTCGCGAAAGGAGGCGTGTGAGGGTGGGGAGGGTACACTTATAGGAAGACTCGTTCGCAACAGCCGGAAAGACCCCTCTCTCAGGTTCGATTTCCAATCATTTTCTTGCCAGTCCTCCTTGCCACGCGTTCTACCTTCTTCTAGCTGTTTTTCACGATGTTAGGGTTGGGGAAATAGGAAAAGGGAAGGGATTGGGTTCCTCCGAATGCCCGACGAAAAATTCCGAAATATACGACTCGATTTTACGGCCCGTCGGACATGTCCGGTAAATCCGATTCCCCGCTATCTCCCCAAAGACTGACGATATCGACTGGAGCCCGGAGGGAGGTAGCTATCGCGCGCGGCGAGAAAGGAATATGTCCCGGTGGTTTGCGCCGCGGCCGGAAAAATGGAACCCGGTCCCGATGTAACGCTCCATTTCAATATCTCGATATCGACGCGGTACACTTCCTTTTCGGGGCCGGGGCCGTTCGCGTTCCGCCGCGTTACGCCGGAACGTCCGTTCCCGGAGCTTCCGTCGGTGTATGGACGGAAGAATTATTGTATTATTCGGGAAAGAGAGTGTTGGCCTGGTCCGCGTTCAATTTCGCACAGGGGCGCACGTTTTTCGGTTTTTTTTTTTTTTGACCGACTGTTTGTCACGTGCCGCGGCAGGCAGCCATGTCGTTTCGACAACGAACGACCAACGGAAACCGATAACGCGTTCGTGGTCTTGATAAGGGGGGAAGATTGCCGCTTGGAACAATAAGTGTTTCGTGCATCGATCTTCAGTTAACCTGATTCGCATCGATGAACCCTGGATTGATCTCAGTTAACTACCTTTCGACCTTGAGTAGATGTTAGGCCAGTGTGTTAATCCTATCTTGGTCCAATTAGATTCCCACAGCCTTGAATTGTTTCGATCCTATTGTCTTGATCTCGGCTGGGTCCTATTGTACTTGTTACATTCAAGTCTTTTGTTCTAGCATCATTCTTATTCGAATCTTTTGTCGAATTTTATTTTTCAATCCCGACTTGATCTCACCCAAATTCACAACACTGTGTTCTATATCCATTCACATCTGTTGATTCTGAATTTCCAAGACTTCAAAATACAGACCGTCGATTCTTCGGAGTAAATTCTCGAAGTATTACTCGAAACCGAACCCCCAGAACTTTCAACATCGAGGGAACCCGGCTCGTTACCCGACCGTGCCGGAATCCGGAATCAAAGAACGCCCGCTTTACTTAGCGGAAGAGCAGTCGAAGAAGAACGCTCGATAATTTTAGCATATTGAAATATTGTTTCGTTCTTTTCCTCCCGTTCCGTCGTATCAGCGTATCGGAACGGTCCCGTTTCCTCCTTGAACTCTGCTACCGTATTTATTCTTTTCCCTCCACCCCCACCTCCACTGTAACGGTGCCCAAGCTTTCGATCTCCCTTCCGTTGTCCTGGCTCTCTTTCTTCTCCGCCAGACCGACCGAGCGAATCGGGTACAGGGGTTGGCGCGCTCCAGCCCCGGCCAGGAGAAGATATTATGCGAAATACTTTCTGCCCGGCTTCGAGGAACCGGCCGGGAATACTTTATGAGATGTATAATTTGGCCGGATGTACCGTCGTTTCGCGAAATTTACGATCGCTCGAGCCTACGCGAGACCAACCTTCGGAGGAGGCTCCGCAACTGTTCCTCTTCGTTTCACCGACGAACTGGGCCCTTTGCCACGTTTCCCCCTTTCCCGACGATCCCAGACCTGGCTGGTCTCATATGCGCCCTGTGGACGGCACGTGTCCCACGGATGACGGTGCTAGCTGAGGAAATTCGAGAGCACGATATTTCGTTTCCCTCGCGCCTGTTAATATCGCGCGACCTAGAAAGATTTGCGAAATTACTTCGCCTCTCTGCCAACACGAGGATGAGACTGCTTGGCTGTGAATCGCTGTCGCGGCGTTATTGAGAGATGAAGAATGGTCTGGGCTTGGTTCTTCGACGTTTTTTTATTGTGGAACTGGGAAGACTGATTTTATGGTCCTTTTTGATAATGCAGCGAGTTTTGAATATACTGCATTTATTCTCGTGAATATTTTAGCCCGTGAAGAACAATAGAAATCTTGGATAAATTAAAAATGAAGGTATTCATGTCTCCTTACTTTAAAATGTTTTACTGTCACGTAAACTTTGTGTTTGCTGTAAGTTGTTTGACAATTGAATAGATATCTTTTCCATAAATAAAGTGTAGGCTCACAGCTAACAGTTGCTACAATTATATTTTAAATACCAGCTACACACGGTTGTCCATTTTAGCTACGAAGGCTCACCGCTGTAATCATAACTTCGAAGAACCACGCGGTTTTTAATGGATTTAAAAGTCCCCCTCCCAGAAATATGCAGAAACATTAAAATTTAAATATCACTCCTTAGCGCATGAGCGCGTCACATGGCCAGCCGATGGTGTCGAGCAAAGTGGCTGAGGCAATGTAAATTTTGCTACCACCGCTTATTTTCGCAAAATGCTACAATTATGACTTTATTGCGACATGCACGGGACTACAATTTTCGTCTAGGGCTCAGCCGAGTTTTACGTTATTTTGCGCCCGTGTGGTGAGTGGTTGCTACGGTGAAATTTTTTTTAAAAAATCATTCCTGTGACGATACGAAATACGTTATTTCTTATGTGTAGCACAAATCTGTTAGATTTAATTAATCTATCTTAAGGGATATGGTTGCCCTTACTTATTTGTCCAATCCAGTGTGTTCTTGGTAGTCATGATTAATTTCACGTGATATCCCAGCCGGTGACGCGCCTCGTTCTAGCCGGGGGTGCAATGATATTACAATCCCCTATCGGCTTGAACGAGTAAAATATTAACGTCGAGGTGGGTGTTGCCGTCGGAAGCCGGTCCAATGTGTTCCGAGTGTTTCGCATATCGAACAAAGCCCTCGTGAATTTTCCGCGAGGAAGGGGATCCACGTTTTTACTGGCTCGGCTTTGGCCGGGAGAGCCGTTGCCACCCGAAGGAAAATAAATGGGCGACCAATTGAATTTTGTTTTCGGCGGAATAGGCGATAGAAACGTATGAACGCCTCTCTCTCGGAGGGGCCGCAAAATTTATGGACTTTTCCTTTCTTTTGCAATGTACGCGAAGCTTGTTCGTTTCGTATTCATACGAGTGCCGACAATTACGAAAATTATATCGAGCCTTTGAATCTTGGTTTTTTCTCCATCGCGGAAAATTTGTCGCGCTCGATAAATCGAGCCTATGAAATCAGAAATTAATGAGTTATAGTTTTCGGTGTCATAGGATTGCACTTAAAGTTTTACTGAATGAAAAATAAATGAGATATCGACTTATGTTTCATGGAAATGAAGCTTAAGGAATTGGGTTGGAACAATATCTCTGACACGTCATAGCTAT